AGGGGGGGGGGGGGGGAGTTGCCTTTCGCAGTCGAAGGGTCGGACGGTGAGCTTACGTGGCGGATGACGATTGGCCAGTGGATTGGTATGCGGTGTTGTGGCGAGTCCACGAAGTGGTTTAATGCTGCGAGCACAAACATGGCAAACGCCGGAAAAGAGGGCACATCACAAACAGATGCATTTATGTATAATTAAAAAAAAAAATCTCACGTTTCGTATTCACTCGATTTAGATACATTCATTTCATTTCCCCTAAACCCTAATTCTTTATTCATATTGTTTGTAACATATATATATATATATATATATATATATTAATTAAAGAAGAGTGTTCTCTTCTCTCTGGCATGTATTGATTTCGAACCATGTATAAAAGTTCTCATATGAAAAAGGGCAAAATATTCTTTGATTCTTTTTACTATAATAATAAGGTAAATTTCAGATGTTGTAAGAACCATTAACCATATATATTTAAAGTCATATACCAAAAAAAAAACATTTAGCTAATGGATCGTGCATTTAGTAAAACAAATGATACAATTAAGGTGAGGTGTGAAAATGATCTAGCAATAGAGTTTTGATCAATAATTATGTTTAAACCCAACACTCAAAGCAGAAAAATTGGCAAAATTACCGTAATTGTTAGAGAAATTGCCCCCACCTCGTGACTTAGGTTGTGGACACACACTCTCCCTTAACGTTTTTATTTTTATTCCCTAACCAAAAAAAATAAAATAAAAAGCACCGAAAAATGGGACAATGACGGTTGGGAGTTTGAACATATCATTCACTAAATTTAGATTCCCAATTTCTTCCCAACAAAAAATTCAGAGATTGAACTATTAATATGATTAAACCCCGAATTAAATCTAACCGAGTGTAATTTATTAAATCAAATTAAATTATAACTAAATATAAAAATAACAAATCGAAAATAAAATCCCCTTTTGAAAGAAATATTTTCTTATAGAGTAAAACCGGTCTAAATTAATCTCATATCAAATGAAATAAATATAATTTTTTAAAAAATTGAAAATAATAAATAATTAAACCTAAATGTGATATCTACATCTCTAATATGCAATGCTATACAATTTGGAATGACATCCGAGTTCTCTGATTAGACTTTCACATGAATGTATTTTTTTTTTTTGCAACAAAGAGTTGTAATTTGTGCATAATTTATAGGATTAGATTAGCTTAATTGAGTATAAGTATCAACCAATAAGTAGATAAACAAATCTCTCACGAAATTAACTTATTAAACAAGGGGAGAGAAAATTAGGTCTTTTAGATTTTGCTTACCTAACAACTCCAATGTTTCTGGCTAACCCTAATTAATTTCAAACACACACGTGGCAATCCCATGTTCAATGGGCATCGTCATAACGTTGATCAAAACTTTCTCTTGGAATTTTTTTTTCAGTATAATATGTTATAGTAATATAGTAATTTTGATATCCCTTTTTATATCCATATTGATTATAAACATTTCATATTCTTTTGCTAAACAAAAATGTTAATATATTAAAAGATTTTCTGTTTCACATTATAATTCTGGATAGGCGAATTTATAGTTGACGAGAAGGGGATAATTAATAAGAAACCTAATTAAGAGAAGAACAAAGAGGGCCGCATCTGAGAAAAAAAAATATAAATGACAAAAATAATGACAAAAGCAATAAAAATGATTAAAGAAAAAAATAAATGATTTTTCTTGTTGGTTTAAATACTCAACCATTTCCCACAATTCTCTCCCTCAACCCCTCTCACCTTCTCTTCTTCTTCTTCTTCTTCTTCTTCTTGGGCAATGGAAAAGGGTTCTCGGCGGAGCAAGAAGGCCGCCGACAAGACGCGAAGCGCGATCGCGTCTGAGATGGCGTCCACGACGTTAGGGGTTCAGAAAGCCAAACGCAGGCGGCGTTCTCTGCCGCGAGACGCTCCCCCGCAACGCAGCTCTGTCTACCGCGGCGTCACCAGGTTTCCCCTCCTCTCATCGTTTTTCCAATTCAATAACCAATTTTAAACAACAAAAGATTTGGTTTTTTCTACTTTGTTATTTAATTATAATTATTTAATTCTCGATTAAATTTGTAGGCATCGGTGGACGGGTCGATACGAAGCGCATTTGTGGGATAAGAATTGTTGGAACGAGACGCAGAACAAAAGAGGGAGACAAGGTCAGTCTTTACATATACATATATATATATATATATATATATATAGTTTTTGTTATTTGTGTCCGTTTAGATTTGGTCGTGATGAAAATACGGAACTCGGGACTCGGAGCTCCAGTTTCTCCGGGGAGTTCGTAGTTAGTAGTGTTCTTGATTTTTTTTTTTTTGGTTCATTGTTTTTTTCTCGTGATGCTGATGGGCTTGGAAATGGATGATGAATGCTGACTCACCAAGTGCAGTATATTTAGGTGAGTTTAGCCATATCCATAGCATTTTTATATTCATTTTTTTTTCCTTCATATTCAAAAAATAAAAAGCTTATATTTATTTGGCTGCAGAGATTGGATCTCCCCCTGTATATTACGTTTTCTATAAATTTCGCCTTTAGAAAGTGGATTCGATACATTGTATCTAGAGATAAATGGTTGGAAAACAAATAAAATAAATCAATGGGAAATTTCACGAAATGGGTAACCGGTTTATTGGCTGTGTTTTTTGCTCGGACCCAATTTTGGTTATTTATTTCGAGTTACATGTTATAGGAATGACTCACCTTTATATACGTCATTGCAAATGTTATGCTTTTATAATATATGGTGATTATTTTTTGTAATCTATTATTTGGGTATATATGGATAGGGGCATATGACGACGAAGAGGCAGCTGCACGTGCCTACGACTTAGCGGCATTGAAGTATTGGGGACGAGACACCATCTTGAACTTCCCTGTAAATTTTCTCGGGATCCAAACAGAAACTTTGGAAAGAAAAAGAAAAAAATAAGAAAGAAAATACTCTCTGCATTGTCTTTGTTGGCTTCACAATCTTCTCACCTTAGCGTTTTTTTCTTTAATATGTCACAAGGGCAAAGAAACAACATGAGCATGAAATGAATCTTTTCCCTTTTCCTCTTAGGTGTCTGGTTATGAAGAGGACCTCAAAGAAATGGAAAGTCAGTCCAAGGAGGAGTACATCGGGTCTCTGAGGAGGTAATTAATTCATTAATTAGCGTTTAATCAATATTTTTTTGTCATCCAAAGCTAGTGATTAGTGAATTAATCAATCATTAGTTAATCATATTATCTGAATTTTACACATTTGGTACAGGAGAAGCAGTGGATTCTCCCGTGGTGTATCCAAGTACAGAGGGGTGGCTAGGTAAGCCCAAGTTGTGGTCTGCAAAAGATCTTAAATAAACATGTAATTAATCAATGCTGATAATGACAATGAAGCCAATAATATCCAAAATATCTTCTTTTTGTTTTGTTAAAAATTATTTTTAAATATAACTATCATAAATTTAACGTTATAATCAATGTAATCATATGATCATACTGTTTTTTTGGTTATATGTTTATATCTAAAAAAATACGTGTAGAAATAATTTTAGCAAAATAATACCCAATAAAACTTATGTTTTCGAATATAATTGCATTTTTTTTTAAGAATGAGAAATGATAATTTCATATCGTAGGAGATATGAGTTGGTGAGCAATAAATTTGGCAGGCACCACCATAATGGGAGATGGGAAGCTCGGATTGGGAGGGTTTTTGGCAACAAGTATCTATACCTTGGAACATATGGTAATCCCATTCATCTTTATTTTCCTAATTTTTATAAATATTATTATTGGGATACTTATATAACCAAATCTCATCTTAATTGAAATCTAATATATGTGTGGTCAAACAAATAACTCCAAGAAAATGGTAAGTCGCACACAATCATGATAGATATCTCCACAAAATTAATTAAAGAATATATTAAAACTGTTATGTCTTGGTTTTTTGGTGCATTATCAATGGACTTACTTTATGTGATGATCTTAGAGATGTAATCAAATCTTGTTGGGTGGGGTGTAGATGACCGAACCCCAACCACTTAGCCAAGCTTTTTACTGATTTGAATTTGAATTTGCTCATGAAAATAAATTTTTTAACTATATTTGCTTCCTCCATTAGCTTCGAATTATATATATATATATATATATATATTTGATTTTCATGCATACATTTATTCATTCTTTTTAGTTCATATACAATCCCATAAAAACAATAGATTTGCTTCTTTTTTTTTTTGTATCAAATTTAAAATTAAACTTTATATTTTGGTATCCAGTTAAGACATGAGTTCTTTAGAATTATGCATATCCCCCAAAAGTTTCAAAAGTGACAATTTACCCCCTTTTATGGCACAGCTACACAGGAAGAAGCGGCAATAGCATACGACATGGCAGCAATCGAGTATCGAGGACTTAACGCCGTTACCAACTTCGACCTCAGCCGTTATCTCAAATTCTTGTCGCCGGAAAACTCTACCGACGGCAAGGTTCGTCTCACGGAGGCTCCAAATCCCGACGCGAATCCGTCTCCAGAACGTAATCTCGAGTCCGAATCGTCACTGGATCAAACATCCTCGTCATCAGACAACAAAGATGAATCTTCTCCGGTCCGGAAGTTCTTGTTGTCTCCTTCGAAAGTGAAGGAGATCATCGAACCGTCGACGCCGCCGGAAGTTGCTCCGCCTCGCCGGAGCTTCCCGGAAGACATTCAGACTTTCTTCGGGTGTCAAGATTGCGGCATGTTCACGACGGAGGATGACGTGATTTTCGGCGAGTTAGGTTCTTTCCTTTCACCCGAGTTCTACAGCGAGCTTTGACTGATTGTCAAAAGCTCCTGGATTTCGATATTCTTTTCAGATAGGGTAATCTTCTTCCCTCCACAACAGAGAAATCTGGGAAAACTTACAGGATTTGATATTGGTTAAAGTTTTGTTTTGCTTGTAATAAACAATCTATGTATCAATTGTTTTTTCTTGAAGGAAATCTATGATGAAGGCTCATCGATCTGGTAAAAGATTCATGTTTCATATGAAAAAGATGACACCTTTTGAACACTAGAATAAGATGATCCTGACAAGATGTGATTCTTGGACGTGTTCAGAGGTTGAACTCGTCACTTTTCTTGATCAGACAGTGCAGCAGAGCTTGGAATCAATGGAAGCCAAGCAAATGCAGAATGCTTGGTAGCCTGATAACGGGTACCTGCAGAGAGAGGGATGAGCAAAACGATAACCAGACATCATACCCTCTTGCTCGAACTCTGTCCTAAATCAAAAGCCTTATATATAGATAGCTCTTTGGGTTTTGTTGTTTGGGTTCGAGTAAGTACCTGAAGTCGGTGACATACTTGGTTCTGTCCACCCTTCCCATCTGCAGAGTTGTCTGCCTTCCGTTCTCCTGCATATGCAGATTTTCACAAACAAGTTGGTTTCTTGAAACTTGATATTGGAGAGATCGATAACGGATAAATCACGGGCGATGTACCGCAAGTGTCAGCTGAAAGTTTTTCACTGAGCTCTGTACTCTCAGCCCTGTTCTTCCCCTGTCTCTGAAGTCTAACTCATACTGCTTCGATATCTAGAGACAGAGGGAGGTACACAAGATCAGTTCACATTCTTTAGCATCTTATGATGGCAATGTCATGAGTTAAGGGTTTGCTCTGTCATAAGGAGACCTACTTTGTTGTAATGTGGTACCCTTGAGCAAAGCTTCTGAACCTTCTCCATATTCTTAAGCCAATCAACGGGCAGCTTGCTGACGTTTTGGACCTGTATTACATAGAAGACATATACACACATTAGCTATTGTTGTTCTTCAGAAACAGCATTGTTGGTGGCAGGGCGTCAAGACAGAAACTGAATCAAACCGGACTTTATATACTAAACTGAGAAGCATGAGTGAACGAACTTCTTTTCCGGATCGAGATCTAAGACACTCACCTGCTTTGGATTCTTCTGTACCGGTTGTTGCTTTGGAATGAAAGCTCTCATTCTTCTGTAGCTCCCCGTCCAAGTTGCTATAGTGGGTGTGAATCTGCAGAAGCAAACTGATATAAAACCCGACGAGAAAATCAAGAAGTGAAAACACAGAGAGTTGTAATGGTGAGAGACTTTCTAGCTTACGTTACAACAGAAAGAAGCGGCTTCAAATGTTTATCTATAGAACCAAGACGAACTCCCTGCCACCAGAACCAAAACAACCAGCTTGAGACAGAAGCAGATGATATTTAGTTATAGAAAAGTAAATTTGTAAAGTGTAATAAGAACCTGATCCCAAATGCAGTACTTGGAGCCCATAAGATTAGCTGTCATGGTTCCGACATAACTATCATCTGAATTACTCGACAACCCTTTGACATTCTGGGCTATCCTGAATTCAGACTTCCCATTATGTCTCCTGTGGTAAGCGACCGCTAGCTTCCGGTCTCTTCTGCCTCGTCCTTCCTGAAACGTTAACCAGACTCTCAGAGCTGTCTGAAAATCCGATATTTCTGGAAAATTTCTTCAGAGAAGAGGTAGATGTCTGTTCTTACATGGGTATAGAGTGTGTATAAGGATCCACTCCGTAACTCTTTAGGAGATTGCTCTTTCACAATCACACAAGTGCATCTACCGACGTCTAAAGGTAAAGTCTTGCACATCAAGGATCTGCCATAACAAGTTATTTTCACAGTCACTCAGGAGATTGTACATTTGTGCTCTCTTTCAATTTTTTTCCCCGTCTCCTTGATTCATATTAGACTAACAAACACCAGTCGTTGCTGAATTCATGAATCCCTTTCAAACAAATTTAGACATAGAAGAACAAGAATCTGCAGTTGTTTGAGACAGTAACCAGAAAATATGCTTTTGATCCGACAAGGAAAGTCTTAACCTTGTTCATTCTTTGATTACTACAAACTCATATTCATGTTTTACTCAAACGAAAACGAATGTTGCCGAATTCATATGGTGTTTCAGATATGTTTAGACTAAAGAACAAGAATCCATGAAAGTGCAGTACCTATTGGGCAAAGTGGACCAAGAAGAAGCGGGAGCAGCTTCTGAATCCGAATTCTCCCAGACCTTTAACGAACTTGAATGATCAGAATCGACACTGTTCCACGTTTTAACGCCGAAACCACCTTTGTCAGGCTCGTTCATCTCCATACAGACCTGAAGCGACGTCTGCTTCAAGGCCGTTCGACCCGTCGAGAAAGACTTGAAATCTGTAACCTCCTTCGGATACCCAGAATTTCCGTTCACCGACAAAGACTTGAGAGCTCGATCTGGTTTTGGGATCGAAGACAAGGAGCTGTTTTCGGGCAAGACATTCTCATTGTCGTCTTCATTACCAGAAACAGGGGCTGAGAAATTGCAGATGTTTTCCTTGTTTTCAGCGATGGATGAATCGCTTTCTTTTCCTGGACCACCCATCTCTTTTCTTCTTCGGGTCGCTTCAAGTTTGAGTCTTTAATGGCGGAATTCACCTCTGGCTTTGTTTTCTTCGGGAAAGGAAATGTTTTTTCTTAATGGGGTTTGAAGATGCATAAAACCTCGATAAAGGAGCTGGCAATGGCGGTGGGTGGGGGTTCCTCGGGTTTCTTAGTCTGAGCATATTTATAGCTTTGACTCTGTCTGAAAGAAGCTTAATAAAGAATCGATATCTTGAATTTCAAATTTAATTTCCTAACCGTTGGTTTGTCAATAAAGTTGAACATCACATTTTTTTTAAAAACACACCAATGTAAGTTGATGTAGAACAAGTCTATAGTTTGATAGACACGTGGGTCATAATTACTTCAAAAGATTATCATATAAAACAGATATAAAGTTTGGTCCAAATATAATGTTATAAATGCCCAATAATCAAAATTTGATGGACAAATTTATTGTACTCCCTTGGAAAAATGTCAAAAAATTAAATTTGAAAATGGGGAAGTTGCAATGCAAAAAACAGTTAAAAAGTCCAAATAGTGAATTACAAAGGGACAGAGACATTTGAATTTGAAAGGCCATGGGAGATTGTGCGAAGTGCACACACACACAAAGGTTCTTTTAGGTGTCTGTGTTTCTCTATGGACCCAACGGTCACTATAAGAGGACAATCCTTGTCGTTTTCCGTGTCGGGAAGGTCTGACGCTGAGCGGGAACTGTGTTTCAAACACAACTTCTCAACAACTTGCCGTTTGCTCATTCTCAGAATCAACACCTTGTCGTTTGGGAGATGTATAGATCATCATATCGCGGGTTAGATTATTGCCACGTCATGTTATCTCACGGCCAAGTATTATTTAGATACAAGAAAAAAAATGCAAAAGGCTCGTAAATTTCAAAAAATTAATAAACACAACCATGTATGTAATTTTATTATATAGTTTCACAAAAATGATCGAGTAAATGTATGTTGTTCACATAGTACAACATGTCATATATATGCAATCTCGATTATGTGGTTGCTGTATATAACAATACGAAACAAAGATTATATTTCATTTCAATGACAAATAGAAATCAAAGATTCGTTTTTACTTCTAAAAATTAAAATTCGTACCGCAATTGAATACTGTACCAAATTGGGTCATCGATTTACACACAAGAAACGGATGAGCAAGAAAGAACCTCAAAAATCGAGTGGCTATGGATCCATCGCCTTCGATAAGATCATGGACCCATCATTGTTCCAAGTAATCCAAATCCATGAGGCCACATACCATCGTCAGCCAAGCCCATCAAATCCATCATCGTCACCGTCATCATAATCATCATGGCAAAGGCGAGCAGCGCTCTGTTCGCCATCTCCAGCTCTGCCTCCGCGGGTTTCTCTCTCCTCCGTCGTGCCGAATCTCTAAAACCCTTGGTCTCCCGCGCCAAATTCTCGGTCCCTGTGGCCATGTCCGCCACTGCCGACAAGGTGGTCCCCGCCGTGATTGTCGGCGGCCGGCGGGTCGGG